CCTGCAATTACAGTAATAATGATAATCTACAAGTAGATACATAGACACTCAAGCTGAACACTGGTGGGAAGATGAATGGACTGCACCCATGAATATAAATATGCACCTGTATGTACTGCAAATATATCCATGAATATAGTAGAGCATAACTCCCCAAAAAACCAAACCTACTGCCATTGAGTCGATTCTTATTCATAGCGACTCCCACGGGTTTCCAAGGCTGTAAATCTTTACAGAAGTAGATTGCCTCATCTTCCTCCCACAGAGCAGCTGGTGGGTTTGAACCACTGACCTTTTGGTTAGCAGCCAAATGCTTCACCCACTATGCCACCAGAACTCCTTATAGTAGAAAATATAGGATGCAAATTTATGAAAACTTCTTAGCCATCACCAAACACCTTCAGGGAATGAGTCACTAGGCTCATGAGGGCTCATGGGGGCTCAGGACCATAGCCTCATGGGGCACTAAGGTCAATTGGCATAACATAGTCTACTTTGGTGAGTAGTGACTGTGATCTTAAAAGCTTATGGACAGCCGTCTATGGTACAACTATTGGTCTCTCCCTGCCTGCAACAAAGAAGAGTGAGGATAATCAAAGACTTAAGGAAACAATTAGTCTAAAGGGCTCATGGACCACATGAACACCAGCCTCCACAACCCTGAGAGCAGAAAGAAGAACTAGATGGTGCCTCCCTACCACTACTGACTGCTCTGAAAGAGATCATAATAGGGGTCCTGGAAAGAGTGGGTGAAAAATGTGCAAAAAACTCAAAGTCAAAAAAAAAAAAAAAAGAAGAAGAAGAGGCTTACTAGTCTGATAGAGACTGGTGGAACCCTCGAGACTATAGGCCTTAGACACTCTTTGTGGTAGTTAAGGTTGTGTGTCAGCTTGGCTGGGCCATAGTTTTGAGTAGCCAGGCAGCTGGATATAGTTATTTCCTACACTGAGATTGTAATGACGTCCATTGTGGAATCTGCTGTGAGCAGCTAAGTAGTTGCCTTCAGGGTGTGGCCTGGTTCCAGAATATAAGGAGAAGCTTTGAGAAAGGTCTCTAGCTTTTTGGCACATTTGGCTGAGTCTTCATCTTCAGTTCTTGGACTTGAGCCTGTGGTCTGCCGTATGCCTGTTAATCTTGGGATTATGTCATGCTACTTGCCGACCTTGGGTTTGTCACCCTCAGCAGCCAGCAGCTGCCTGATTCACGAGAAGCCTCCCACTCCAACAGGCCTGGAATAAGAGGCAGAACTGAAGCCCAAGGTTGAGGGGCCTTCGCTCAGCCCCTGGAGCCGGCACTCTGAAATTGGACTTTTAGCCCCCTAAACTGTAAGAGAATAAATTCCTGTTTGTTAAAGCCATCCGTATGTGGTATTTCTGTTTAACAGCACTAGAGAACCAAGACATGGTTCCAGCTTGAAACTGAACTAACCCCAGTGGGTCAGCTTTCAACCAAATGACAGATGCCTATAAGGTGAACAATACTACTACTAGAAACATATGTACTCATTAGAACAATCAACCACATGAGATCAAAAGGGCAGCATTTGCCCAGGGACAAAGCTAAGAAGGCAGAACGGAGAGGAAAGAAAGATGAAGGAAAATGGTAAACACAGGGAGAAGTGGGAAGAGTGCTGTTACATTATGGGAATTTCAGTGAATGTCACAAAACAAAATGTGTATGAATTGTTGAATGGAAAACCAATTTACTTTGTAAACTTTCACTCAAATCACAATTTAAAACAGTTTGAAAATAAAAATTAATGCAAAAAATCCACAATTAACAAAATATTATACGTTTGAATAAGATAGGCTTTTGTTTGCTTTATGACTGCACTATTGCACAAAGGGAACAATAGTTTCCAATCAGCCAAGTGTCCTGGGACCTCTTGGCCATTGTATCCCCTGCCATGGGAATTTATGAGAGTTGATGATGTGGTATGAACAGAGTATTGGGCAAAGTGGAGCTTAATATACATTCAAGTTTTTTGATTGTAGACCTTTTATTAACCTGTACCACTGGGTCAAAACATGGGAAGGTATTTTGATAAATTTGCATCCCTCCCTCAGGCTCAGATTTGACTCCCAGGGTACTGGCTTCAACCTTTGGTTCCTACTATAACTGGAAAACAGGCACTGAAGAAGACAGTACCTCATGTGGAAAGAAAACTACAGACCCTCCTGCCAGTGAGCTCTCCCTCTTTGGAGCACTTTTGCCATGTACAATTGTCCATGGCATGGGCAGCCTGCTGTCTGCTCAATTTCTGAAACCAAATTATGGGTGGGGTGGCGTAGTGCCTAAGACATTTGACTGCTAACCAGAGAGCTGGCAGTTCAAACCTACCAACCACTCCTTGGAAAGAAGACTGGGCAATCTACTTCCACAGAGATATTGCCACAGAAACCTAAAGAGGGGTCGCTATGAGTCAAAATTGACTCAGTGTCAGTGAGGGAATGGTCTTTGCTGTAAATCAATGATTTATCTCATTATTTGATTTTTAAAATTATTTTATTGTGTGAAAATATATGTAACAAAGCATTAGCCAATTGAAAATTTTTTACATGTACAATTCAGTGATATTGGTTACATTCACCATTATATTGTACAACCACCACCACTAGGAGCTCTGGTAGCATAGTGCTTAAGGCACTTGACTGCTAACCAGAAGGCTGGCGGTTCAAACCCACCAGCCACTCCTCAGAAGGAAGATGGGGCAATCTACTTCTGTAGTGATACTGCCTCAGAAACCCAATGGGGGTGTCACTATGAGTCAGATTCGACTCAACTGCAGTGAGTTGGGTTAGATCACCACTAGCCATTTCCAAATTATTCCACCACCATTAACAGAAACTCAGTGCCCCTAAGCTACGATTCCTCTCTTTTCCCTCTCTCCTGCCCCTCATAACCACTTTGTTGTTGTTATGTGCCGTCGAGTCGGCCCCGACTCATAGCGACCCCTCCTTGGGTTTCCGAGGCAGTATCACTACGGAAGTAGGATTGCCCAACCTTCCTTCCGAGGAGTGGCTGGTGGGTTTGAACCGCCAGCCTTCTGGTTAGCAGTCAAGTGCTTTAGCCACTATGCTACCAGAGCTCCTAATAGACTCTATTCTGTATTTATTTGCCTATTTCTATAAGATCATACAATATGTCCTCTTATGACTAATTTATTTCACTCAACATGATGTTTTCAAGGTTCATCCATGTTTTAGCATATAGCACGACTTCATTTCTCTTTATGGCTGAGTAATATTCCATTGTGTGTATGAACCTCATTTGTTTATCTAGTCATCTGTTAATGGGCATTTAGGTTGTTTCCATCTTTTGGCTATTGTAAACAGTGCTGCAATGAACACAGATGTACAAAAGTTTTTATTATTTGATTTTAAAATCCTTTAAGAAGCTCTGGTGGCATAGTAGGTAAGGCATTTGGCTGCTAACCAGAAGGACAGCAGTTCTAACCCACCAGCTGCTCTGCAGGAGGAAGATGAGGCAATACACTTCTGTAAAGATCTACAGCTTTGGAAACCCAATGGTGGTTGCTATGAGTCAGAATCGACTTGATGGCAGTGGGTTTAGTTGTTGGTTTAATATCTCCCAAGGAAAAACGTCTGCCTTGGAAAACTCACCTAAGGAATCAGAAAAAAGAAAACATGCAAATCCAGAAAAAGTGAAAGGGTTTTTCTAAACTTTCTGTGGAACTCCAGTTGGCCTGCACAATGAACATGAACTAGTGAGTTACTCTGTTTCTGTCTACAACTTGCATTACAACATCAGTTCCTCTCCACCTTCTCTCAGTAAATGTCAGGCAACCATTGGGAGAGTATCAAATGGAGAGGTTGGAGGGGGATCCTGAGCCTTAGCTCAGGCTCCACTGGGGCAGGCTACACCACAGCTGCAATGCCAGGGAACTTTGGAGAACTCTGATTTCACATCAGTCTTAAGGAAGAAGGGTCCTTGAGTAGGGGCTTCCTGAACCTGAATGGCCTCCTTCTTCAGTGTACCTCTGTGTCTCTTCTGATTTCTTCTTCTTCCGGATGTAGCCCCTTTGTTGACAGCTCTCCTAGAAGATGATGCAAATCTGAAAAGCGGGCCTCTTCATTCCCACAGAGCCTGTGCGGGTGACTGAGTGGGCTCAGGGGTCCTCTCAGTGGGCTTACCATTATTCCCTCACAGGCCTTGCTCTGCACAGGGAAATCCAGCTTAGGGATGTGTTGGGGGCAGTATGGAGGGGAGGAGGGGCAGGAACACAGATGCCTTACTCTGAGGACAGGTCTTAGCCCTGAGTCAACACGTGCTGTCCTGCCCCAGGTTCCCTGAGCAGCCCGGAGTAGCCTCGTTTTCTGCCACACTCCAGTTGTCATCTTCTCTTCTATGCTCAGCACAGCTGGGCTCAGGGAGGGCCAGGTTGGTGGGCCTGAGGTGGTCAGGCGAGCCAGAGAGAGCGGGACCTGGCAGGGGCCGCTTGAGCGGAGCTGTCCAGCACCCAGAGGCGGCCTGTGCGCCCCTGGACCGCCCCAGCCGCCTCCGCCCGCCTCGTCAGCGCCACTGCGGCTCGGCCGGCGCGTCACGTGGCTGGCGCGGCGCGGCCTCCAGACTCCAGGCACTGGCGAGCCGCCGGGCGGGAGGACGGACAGACCTACTGACGCACTACCGGCGGTACCTGGCCTGGCAGGCTGGGCGCAGCGCGGAACGGCCCGAGGGTGCCGGGGCCGGACAGACGCCCGCAGGTCATGGGCGTGCCGGGCAATTCCCGGCACAGGCCGGCTGCGGCGGGGCGACCGGGACGCCGGGGCAGCGGCGGGCGGGGGTCTTCCCTGGTGGCCGCCGCTGAGCCCCCGCGGGGCCCGTGACGCCGCGGCCGATGTGGCCCCCCGCGAGCTGCGGGCCTGCACCGCCGCCGCACAAAGACGCTGCTGGAGCCGCCGCCCGCACCCGGGACGCAGCCTCCGCGGGAAACCGAGCCGGACGGAGCCCTAGCCGGGGGGCAGGAGGCGGCGCCCGCGGGCGGCTGGCCCCGGTATGGAGAAGCGGGCTGCCACGGGGCTGGAGGGGGCCCCGGGCGCCCGGACGCAGCTCGCGGTGGTCTGTCTAGGTGAGTGGGCAGTCGAAGCTGGGCGAGGTCCGGGAGCAGCACTCCGGCTGGACGCCCTGGCCCGCCCCCGCGTCCCTTCCGGGACCAGGGCTTTCCTGGAACGGCCAGTGCGATGGCTCCCGTGCGGAACTACAGAGAAGGCAGTAGCCCTGAGGGTTTTTAGGCCCTTCTCTTCCCGAGCGTCCCCCAGCATCCTCGTCTTGCTAGAGTCTTATGCCTGGGAGGGCGACTCTGGGAGCCTCGCCCTCAGGCCCAACCCTGGCAGCAGAGCCCCGGCCCCTGACGAATCGCAATATCGCGTAGGCGCCCGGGATGAGCAGCGCGCTGGGCGGCCAGTTTGTGCAAGCGGCCGAATCGGCGGCAGCCTTCAGCGGGCCTGCTGCACTTAGCTTGGCCACAGTCCGGGCCTGCCGAGCTGCGGACAAAGGCGAGGCCTGCGGGTCTGAGGTCGGCTGCTCCTTTGCCAAATTGTTTCCTGTTGAGTTGGGGTGGGGGTGAGGGGATGATGCCGTCCTGGAGAAGGGGACTCGGGATGCAGGACATGAGGATGCCAGGGAGGAGGCACTGGGAGAATGACCCCTGTTTTCCCTTTGTGTCTTCTCAGATCCAGCCAGGCAGGCCCGGTCAACCCAGGGTGGTGTGTTTGTGCAGGGCTGAGGGACCTGTCCAGGCCTGACACCTGAGTGCAGGGGCCATTTCCTGCCCTGCCCAGGGTTTTTTCTGTCCACCTCTCCAGGTCCCTGTGTGTGCATGTTTGGGGCTGCTAGAGGCTAAATCCTCATTCCACATAGCTCCTTTATTTACTACTAGAAGGAAGGGGACCATTACCAGAGCTGAGGGTTATTAGGGGACATGGGTAACTCTGTGGTTACACTAAAGAGGGCTCTGTAACATTGACAGGTTTCCTGAAGCTATTGAAATGACCAAATAACAAAAAAACCTGTCTGTTTTCAGTTGCACCTGCACCTCCTCCCCAAGAAATAGAGAGTTCTGAGTTGGGGGAAGGTCCCTGGCCTGTCCCAGCAGGGTGAATGGGCATTGCTCCCCCACAAATCTGGTAATAGCTATTTGCTCTGGACTTTGAGCTCTTGGGCTTCTCTGGTGAGCAGGACATGGGGTTCAGGCTGGCTCCCTTCACCTGGGTTGAGCCAGGGACCCTCTCTGGTAGGTGGTTCAGGCCTGAGGATCCCAAGCCTGACAGGAGACAGTCAAACACTTTCCCCTCCCCTCACTGAGTAAGAATTCCCAGCCCTGGGAGCGGCAGGAGTGGTCTAGCGCAGCCAGTCCTGCACGCTGCTCTTGGTTGTGGGTGTGCCAGGGAAGGTCCTGAGACCCTCTGCGGCCCTTCAGCTGCCCATGCCAAGAGTCTCAGGGCCTTGCCCTGTGAGATGAAGGGAGACTAGCCTTGAGTTTAGGCTGTGTTGTCCCATCCCTCACAAGGGCTGCTGGTTGGTCCAGAGTTGGTACCTAGGACCTGAAAACCATCCCTCATTGACTTCTCTTTGTGTCTCCCACAGTGAACTTCTTTCTCACTGGGAGGCTTAGCAGTGCAGTTCCTGCCCTAGGTAAGTAAGAAACTTTTCACCTTCCACTCCTCCTCCCTGAACTCTGATTTTGTAACCTCTGAGGACAGACTCTGAGGACGGACCTTCAAGGTCCTGGCTCAAACCCTGAGGTCATCTAAACTTTCCTAAATTCAGTTTTGTCGATAAAACCAGTCGTTGGTGCATCTTTCCTGCATTAAAAGGAACTGTTTGGTCTTGGGCAAACTTAAAATTTTCTCTAAGCCTCAGTTTCCTCTTCTGTAAAGTGGGTGAAATATAGGACATACCTCAAAGCTTGGTTATTAGGTTAAATGAGCAAATGAGGCAAGATGTTTAGCATGGAGTCTGGCACAAAGTGGCTTAATACCACTGGCAAACTGTAAAGGGTCCTGCACAAGTGACAGATCATGCCTCCTGAAGGTATGGGGTTCCTTGAGTTATTGTGAGGTGCCCGCCCCTCATGCCTGTCAGTGTGGGTCTATCTATCAACCTTTGATCTTTGGTCTCTGGCCTAGAGCTGGGCATAGTAAAGATTGGTGGGAGCAGGAGGGGAGGCTGAGTCCATCACAGATGTAAGCTCTCTGCTGAGGGGCCTTTGAGGGGCTGAACAATGGATACATCCAGACCCCTGTGGCCCTCAGTGCCACCATAAGTAATCTGACAAGGGCCTCAGGGAGCTGGGGGAGAATGTGAGGCCCCCAGTCTCAAGGGCCTGTCTGACTTGTTTGTTGTGCTCTTGGAAGGGCAGGAGGCACTTGGGATGTCTGGTTGCACTCAGGGCTCAGCTTGGAGCAGAAACCCACGGAGGCTGGCTCAGCTGTTAGGACCAGGAGCTCTCAGGGTAGGACCTCTGCTGGCCATAGTCACTGGGAGTGGGAGGCCAGGGTCTGCAGAAGTGGAGCTCAAGAGCTTGTCACTCAGACTTGGGCTCCTCAGTCTCTCTCCTAATCCTCTCTGCATGCCAGCTTCACTCTCTGCTCAGGGCCTTGCCTTGCCCAGCCCTGACCCAGCTCTGCAGGGTTTCCTGATTTCACAGCCAACTGCCCAGTCTGCCCATCCCAGTTTCCAGGAGAAGGCTGGCGTGGCCCTGGTCAGGTGCTCACAGAGAGGTAGGTAAGATGCATGGCTGTTGCATCTTACAAGCATAAGCTCCAGGCCAGCTGTCTAGCAGGTGTGGGGAGTGAGAATGTCCCCCAAAACATGTGCCCCAGATGTTTGTGCTCCACATACATGTGGCTCAGGTTGAGAAGAGGGATTCTCCAGGGACAAGAGCCACTCATGGAACCAGGGAAAGAAAGACACAGATCTAAGTCCATATGTTTGTTATTAGCTGTTGAGACCTCAGCCCCATCAGGATCCTTGTTACCTGTCTGTGCCTGGTGCCCCTGGGCTTGTGAGCCACACACACATGCTGCACAGGCCATGGTGGTGTCTGAGGCCCTAGCACTGGCATCTGTCTCTGATCCTGCTGGTGTTGTTGAGAGAGGTGGCGAGCAGCTTCTGGAGGCCCATAGTGCCCCCTCCCAAGGCTCCATGACTTTGCGTTTTGGGGGTTTCACTATAGTTTCTGTTGTGCAGAAGCCTGGATCAGGAACTGATCCACAGCTACTTTCCACCTCTCCCTGGGCTCAGACACTCCTGAGGACCCAGATGGGCTGCCTAGGCACCTCCCCAGGTATATCAGGCACTGACTGGGTCATGTCGCCTATCCCTGCATTCAGGCTCTGGGCTCTGCCACACAGCCATGGTGGTCCCAGAGAGGTGGGCCTAGGCAGGGTCTGCAGGCTGTTCTCCACTCACCTGGCAAGTTCCCAGCATGCCTAGGGTAGGACTTCCAGCTCCATATCTTTGGATTACACCTGGCAAGTTGTTGGGACTATTGATTGCCTCTGGAAATTGGATCTGCAAATTGTGCTTCATCAGGCCTTGTTCATGTCCTCTCAAGAGTATTTGATGACTCTTTGGACCAGGCAATATGAACACTGGCCTAAAAGTACCCAATCATCCCTTGCCCATTTGAGCAGAACCTTGACCGCTGTTTTACCTCCACTTAAGCTCAGACAAACCTTTCCCAATGCCCTAGATATCCCACAGCCCTCGATCCTGCATCAGTATCCCCAGCTTTACCTTCCCCCCAACACGGTTCTCCAGCTCTCCTCACTGCCCACCACCATTGCAGCACTCTGCCAGGAACTTCCCCTCCCATGGCACATGCAGGTGGGCGCTCCCCTGCCACAATCATATACCCTGCTCACCCCATTACACAGTGTCTACCTGGAAATGTCCACCTGCCTCGAAATTTCCCAACCACCCCTTGATGCTCATTGGCTCCATTTTACTGATGGTCACACTGAGGCCAGGATGTAACACTGTGTTTGGCAGCACAGGTCTCAGGACTGGAGTCATGAGGCCCTTTCCCCTGCCTGTGCTTGAATCCTGGAGTTGTGCATTGGGAAGAGGGCACAGAGAGGGCAGGGGGCAGGGGGCTTGTTGTCTGAGCCAGTGGCACCTCCAGGCCCACAGCCAAGCAATGTCCGGTGAAGAGCCCCTGACCGGAGTGCCCAGCTCTCTGCACGGGCCAAGCTGATGGCTGCAGAAGCCCTGGTCTCTATGGGCCCCTCTTGGAGAAGAGCAAATAGTTACCCAAGTGATACTGTTGCCCCTGAGGTGGGACTTTCTGAGACAGCTCTGGGTGACCCTTGACAGTGAGGCTTTTTAGGGGGAGCAGTCTAGTCATTTGCTCCTGGCTTACCTGGTGGTCTGGAGAAAAAGGCCACCTGACCCATGAAAGATAGGCCAGACGTAGATTTATGAGGGAGAAGTACTCTAGCTGAGATGGGGCCAGAGGAGAGAAAAGGTGGCACATGACGTCTGGTGGAAGATGTGAGGCCTGATTGCCCCTTGTTAGTGTGGGTGAGAAGCCTGGCTTCCATGAGTATTCCAACAAGAAGATAAGTCCACGTCCGTTCCACACCAGCTGTGGTAGGTGTTAGCTGGGCCCTGCTCTGCAAACAGTTTGTGCTTGGCTGTTAACCTAAAGGCTGGCAGTTTGAACCCATCCAGCAGCACTGAGAAGAAAGGCCTGAGTCAGTCTGCTTCTGCAAAGATTATTGCCAAGAAAACATCTACAGAGCAGTTCTATGCTGTAACACAGGGGCTTGCCATCGGAATTGACTTGACGGCGATGGAGTTTTGGGGTTTTGGCTGAGGGTCCAGGTGAAGGAGAGGCGGTTCCCACCCTTGCTGAGTTCACCAGCATGCCTTGGGTCCCCTGACTCAGAGGCCTGATGCCTCAGTTTACCACGTGCTTAGGAGACTCAACATGGTGGGAGGAGGGAGATGCACTCACAGCCATGGGCCCTTCCTCCTTGTGAACCCAGCACCATCTGGGAGAAGAAGCCTTTTTGGTTAATACCTCATGCCTTCCAGAGCACCCCATCCGGGTCAGTATCCAGTGTCTCTGAGGCCCATGTGGCTGGGAGCTGACTGTTAAGGGAGCCAGGCCTGGTTGGGGGCACTTTTCTCAGGCCCCTTCCTATAGAATATTTACATGTGCTGTGCTCCTGAGACTCTCCTTCGTTTGTTTGATCTTTATCCTCTTGGGCCTTGAGCAATGGCTCCTGTTTTATGTACAAGAAATGTGGGCCAGATAGAGTGGGCCTGATTTGTATCTAGCTGACTTGGACTGTTGACACTTCAAATGGTGGCCTGGTGGGCTCTCATAATGGTCAGTCTTCACTTTAGGGTTGAGGGTGGGTGTTTCTGTTGCAGTTCTTTGAAGTTATGAGCTGTTAGTGGAGGTTAGTCAAGCTTTAGAATCTCTAGCCCTCCACTGTCATGGCAGGCCCCCAACAGAAGGGTCTTCAGCCCACAGCTCACACCTCTAAATGTTAAACAGGCACTTGGATTGACCAGTTCACTCACTGACCCATGTGTATGGAGCACCTATGACACGTCAGGCCGTGTACCAGATCCTGGGGACATTGTGTTGAGCCAGACCTGGCACAGCCCCTACCCCCCTGAAGGAGATTTTAGTCACAAGAACAAAAAGGGAGTGGCTGCTATGGCAGGGGCTGGGGAGGATGAGGGGTGGAGGACCCGAGCTCTGGTGGGGGCATTGTGGGGAGGGCTTACCGGAGGAAGGGATCACTGAGCTGGGATCTGAAGCTGGGAGCAGTGAACAGTGTGGGAGGTAGGAAGAACACCCCACCAGGGAACAGCAGGAGCAAAGTACCTGAGTAGGAGGAAGCACAGGAGGCAGGGGGCAAGGGGATTAAGGGGGACCTGAGACAGGAGCTCTGGTGGTGTAGTGGCAAAACATTTAGCTGCTAACTGGAAGGTCAGCAGTTCAAACCTAACAGCTGCTCTGTGGGAGGAAGATGAGGCAATCTACTTCTGTAAAGATTTACAGCCTTGGAAACCCAACAGGGGTTGCTATGAGTCAGAATTGTCTCAATGGCAGTGGGTTTGGTTTTGATTTTGGAGACAGGAAAGATGGGAGGGCAGAGGATGGGCCCACTGCGAGGAATTGTGTTCTCATCCTAAGAGTGTGGGAGGGCTGTTTGGCGCCTCAGAGGGTCTTGCTGAGAGCCAGAAAGAACAAAAGTCACTTCCAAGGCAACAATGGAAGGTGCCAGTTGACTATGAGGGTGGCATCACTGGGTTCAGGCAAAGGGTCATTGCTTGCCTCCCTGAGCCTCATTTTCTCCATATGTAAAATGGACCCTGCCTTTGCTGCAGGTGGTCGTGAGGATCAGATGAACCAGTGTGGTGAAGGGTTGAAGGGGTTGTGAGGGGTGGGCATAACCGAGTGTTGGGATCCTTCTGCCTAGTGCTAGGGAGGGCAGGCCACACCAACACAGGGCAGGCCTACTTCACTGGCCAAGGCGGTTTGGAGCCTTTAGACTGGTGGGTTCAGCTGGGGACCAGAGGCTATCCTGAAATGGGTAGAGTGAGGCTGGTGTGATTTAGTGACTCATCCCTGGTGCGGCATGCAGCTGACATGCCATAAATGCTATTGGCTCAGAGCCAGAAGTGAAAGGCTGAGACCACGAGAGGATAAGGGTGATGAAGCCTGGCTCTGCCACTTACTGGCTGTGTTTCCAGGGTTGGAAAGGTGTTTTTTTTTTTAATTTTTATTGTGATTTGGGTGAAAGTTTACAGAACAAATTAATTTTTCATACAAAGGTTCATACATATTTTGTTTCATGACATTGACTGCAATTCCCCAAATGTAACAGCTCTCTTCCCACTTTCTCCCTGCAATTATCTCTTCCCTGTGTCCTTCTCTCCCATGCACTCCCACTCCCGAGCTGTCTCCCTGTGCAAACCCTGCCCTGATGGCTCCAAGGAGTGTATATCTACCTGATGTAAATATTCACCCCATATGCCTGTTTATTGTTAGTTCAGTTCCAGACCTGAACAGTAACTAGGGGCCATAGTCTCAGGGGTCTCACCAGGCTTTAACAGACCAGCAAACATGGTCTTTTTTTTTTTTTAAATGATTTTGAGTTTTGTTCCATATTATTCTCCTACTCTATGCAGGATTTCCTGCACCGATCCCCTTCTGAGTGGTTGACAGTGGTAGCTGGGCACCATTTAGTTCTTCTGGTCTCATGGTCATATAGGCTGAGGATCACATGGCCTACTAGTCCCTTGTACTAATTGTTTCCATATGTCTTTGCTTTTCTTCATTCTTGTTTGCTGTGGATGAGGAGCATCTAGATGTCTGCTTACAAAACTTTTAAGACCCCAGTTTCAGCTCACCAAAGTAGAATGTAGAACAATGTTTTTGTGTAGTATGTTATGCCAGTTGAGCTTGATGTCCCCTGGGACCATGGTCCAGCGCTCACAGATCCAACTACTTGCTCCCTCAGGCTAGCTGGCTGTGGCCAAGAAGCCATCACAATCTTGTGCCTTGTCAACTCCACTATATACCTAGATATTCTTATAGCACATACAAATACACATGTGGAAACATTGTCTGCCAACCCTGTACATGGTCATGGGCACACTGCCCCCTGCCAAGGCTGTAAATCTTTATGGAAGCAGACTGCTTCATCTTTCTCCCATGGAGCAGCTGATGTTTTGGTTAGCTGCCAAATACCTTCAGTGCTATACCACCTGTGGCTGCAGAATTCTCCACTGAGCTGAGGCCCCAGAGGCCAGAAAGCTGCACTTTGGAGATGCCAATTGACAGGGGCAGCTGTTGGTGCACTTGCTCTCAGCCCTGCCAGGAATAGGGAGGGGAGGCTTGGGCTCTGGTGCACTTGGTGGGGTAGGGGAGCTATGGCTGCCCTGAGGCCAGGTGGGTCTTCCTTGGCCCACCCCCTTACACCAGTTTTGTGAACTCTGGAGTTCTTTTCTTAGGTCACAGCCATCCTTGGCTGGCCTTGAGCCAACCCTGCGAGAGGCCTGTATTGAAGCTATGGGGGATTCCAGCGCCCCCACCGGCTTACTGTCAGATTGTGGGGCCAGTATTTCTCAGCCTTATCTCCTGACAGCTGCCTGCAGTGGGAAGCTGGAGCAGCACACGGAGCGGCGTGGTGTCATCTACAGCCCAGCCTGGCCCCTTAACTACCCAGCAGGCACCAACTGCAGCTGGTACATCCAGGGTGACCATGGGGATATGATCACCATTAGGTAAGGGGACCCTGGGGGTGTCTGAAGGCATCTATATGCGTCTAATAAACATGTATGAATGAACACATGTGTGTGATTGTGTATGTGTGTGTGTGAGTGAGTACACGTGTGTGAGCACATGTGTTTATGAGCAGCTGGAGAGGACATGTGAATGAATATGAACAGGCATGTGTGAGTGGTGCATGTGTGTTAGACATGTGTGATTCTGTGTGTGATCACATCTCAGCAGATGTAGAGGACACAAATGTGAGATGTGTGATGTGTGTATGTGAATGTATGTGTGACAGCATATGTGAACATGTGTGAGCTATAAGCATATGTGAGTGTATATGTGTATGTGTGTGTGTGTATGTGTGAGTGCATGTGAGCATGTAGGTGTGTCCAGTTCCCTGGGTCTGCCTGCCCATGGCTGGTTGCTCTTCCCTCAGTCTCTGTCATGGGGTGCGGGGTCTATCAGTCGTCTCAGTTCTTCTAGGGAGTGGAGTCCTGGGGACTAGTGTGCATGGTCCAGCTGCCTCTGAGGTGGCAGAGATGTCTTTCTGTCCTGCAGGGATGACTTGAGGCCAGGCTGGCAGGAGGTATAGGACAGGGCTCCTGAGTGAGACCCAGGGCAGTCTTGTCAGAGAGGGAGCCAGGCAGAAGCCTCAGTGCTCAAGCTGCAGGGAGGCCTTGGGACATGCAGAGGGAAGTAGAGCAAGGTGACCAGATAGTGGATCTGAGGTAGTTGGAACCACCGGCCTGGGTGTGGGTTAGGACATCTGACTGGAGAGTTGCTATAGGTTCCGTTTGCCTTAGCTCTCCCAAATGCCAAAACTCAGAAGGCCCTCAGATACTCCACAGAACCAAGGAACAGGGATGTGATGGTATGAGCTGAGCCTCTCCTGGTCTTCATGCCTCAGTTTACCTACCTCTGGAAGGGGCAAGCAAGGCAACTGGGTGGACACTTTGAAGAGAGAGCCTTTGAACAGTGGCTTTCTGGGCCCTATGGCCTGCTCACCCCACACCGGCCAGTGGGGGTCCATCGCCAGTGTTCCTACCCTAGTAAAAAGGTGTCACCCACCTGCAGCCTAGGCCAGCCACATGGGCATGGCCTTGTCCTTAGTGAGCATGCCTGAGTTTGTTCTGGTTGGTGGAAGCTTGGTCCTTGGACCTTCCGACTTCAGGGAAGAGTGTCACGGGGAGGAAATTGCCCATGAATAGGGCTCCTAATACCCCCTCCACTTTGGCTTTGGGGTGAGGGTGCTGAGTGTGCTAATGGAGGGTGGAAAGGATGAGGCAAGGCTTTCACAGAGCTGTAATAGCACAGAATGTGACAGATGCTGTTCACAGTTGATGATTCTTCATGGAGCCACCCTTTGGTTCCTGGCTGATGGCAGGGGTCCTACCGAATGGCTTTGAGAGGTGAAGCTAGGCAAGTTTGGGAGACCAGGGTCTGGGGTGAAGGGGCTATCCTTGCCTTGAGCTCCAGCCCTGACTACCCTTGGCCCTGTGGGCCTTGATCCTTCCCTAATCCCGTGTCTGCCATCCTCTCTGTCCCTGTAGCTTCCGCAATTTTGATGTAGAGGAGTCCCACCAGTGCTCCCTGGACTGGCTCATGCTGGGTCCAGCAGCCCCACCTCGCCAGGAGGCCTTCCGGCTCTGTGGCTCTGCCATCCCACCTGCCTTCATCTCCGCCCGGGACCATGTCTGGATCTTCTTCCACTCTGATGCCTCCAGCTCTGGCCAGGCCCAGGGCTTCCGTCTCTCGTACATCCGAGGTGATGCTGGTGGCAGGATGGGGCAGGGAGAATGAGCCTAGACCACAGAGCACCTGGTGCACACTCATGGGTTCCCAGGACCAGGGCAGGGCCCTCCACTGGCCTCCACCTCTCCGCAGGATCTCCCCCAACCAACCCTATCAAATGGAGGACAGAGTAATGGGGTTGGTCATGCTGCCTCCTCAGAATGCTCCCAAAGCCTTTTGAGGTCACTGGGCTGTCACTGACCCCACATCTCAGACTTGGCTAGAAGATGGGGAGGAGGCTTACCCCAGGCTCAAGTCAGGGACTGAGCCAACCCTGGTGTTTGAGGGGTCTTTGCCCCTCAAGTGGCCATGAAGAAGCAAAAGGCCCTTCTCCTTGGGTCCTGCCTCTTCCTGGACCATGCTTTCTTCCTGTGGTTGTGAGCTGCAGAGGCCTAGCTGGGAGGGGGACCACTAGCCTACTCCTGGCCCTGGCCTCCATACTGGAGGGAGGCTCTGCCATCCCCTGACCTGTCCCCAACACCCTTTGTCCTGCAGGGAAGCTGGGCCAGGCCTCCTGCCAGGCTGACGAGTTCCGCTGTGACAATGGCAAGTGCCTGCCTGGCCCATGGCAGTGTAACACCGTGGATGAATGTGGGGATGGCTCTGACGAGGGCAACTGCTCGGCCCCTGTCTCTGAGCTGCCGGGCAGCCTGTGCCCAGGAGGCACTTTCCCCTGCAGCGGGGCACGCTCCACACGCTGCCTCCCCGCAGAGCGGCGCTGTGATGGCTCACAGGACTGTGGTGATGGCTCTGATGAGGCTGGCTGCCCGGACCTGGCATGTGGCCGGCGGCTGGGCAGCTTCTATGGCTCCTTCGCCTCCCCAGACCTGTTTGGTGCAGCCCGGGGGCCTTCGGACCTTCATTGTACGTGGCTAGTGGACACACAGGACCCGCGGCGCGTGCTGCTGCAGCTGGAGTTACGACTGGGCTACGATGACTATGTGCAGGTGTACGAAGGTCTGGGTGAACGTGGGGATCGCCTGCTGCAGACGCTCTCCTACCGCAGCAACCACCGGCCCGTGAGCCTCGAGGCTGCCCAGGGCCGCCTCACTGTGGCCTACCATGCCCGGGCTCGCAGCGCTGGCCATGGTTTCAATGCTACCTACCAGGTGAAGGGCTATTGCCTCCCGTGGGAGCAGCCGTGTGGCAGCAGCACTGAGGGAGATGCGGGGGATGCAGGAGATCAGGGCTGTTTCTCGGAGTCACAGCGCTGTGATGGCTGGTGGCACTGTGCCAGCGGCCGAGATGAACAGGGCTGCCCTTCCTGCCCGCCTGACCAGTACCCCTGCGAGGGGGGCAGTGGCCTATGCTACACACCTGCTGACCGCTGCAACAACCAGAAAAGCTGCCCTGATGGCGCTGATGAGAAGAATTGCTTCTCATGTCAGCCCGGCACCTTCCACTGTGGCACCAACCTGTGCATCTTTGAGACATGGCGCTGTGACGGCCAGGAAGACTGCCAGGATGGCAGCGACGAGCAGGGCTGCCTGGCTGCTGTGCCCCGCAAGGTCATCACTGCCGCCCTCATTGGCAGCCTTGTCTGCGGCCTGCTGCTGGTCATTGCTTTAGGCTGCGCCTTCAAGCTGTACTCCCTGCGCACGCAGGAGTATAGGTGGGTGAGCGTGTGGGCTGTGCAGGGGGACCTCAGCCTAGCAAGGCACCTTGGTTCATTCTGAAGATAGACCCCAGACTCTCTGTCCCCACATCTTTGAGTCTGTAAACTGGGGCTTGGACCAACCACTTGTGGACTTCTGGGTATTTTGTGATGTCTAGGTGGAGGAGCAGAGAGCTGCTGTGCAGGTCCCGGGGAGGTGGAAGGGTGGGATCCCAGGAGCCCTGCTGTGATGCCCTCTGCTCACTGCTTTCAGGGCCTTTGAGACCCAGATGACACGCCTGGAGGCAGAGTTTGTGCGGCGGGAGGCACCCCCATCCTATGGTCAGCTCATCGCACAGGGCCTCATCCCACCTGTGGAGGACTTCCCTGTATACAGTGCATCCCAGGTGAGCGCTGATGGGTGTGGGACCCCAAGGGCCAGGGCTTCCAGCTGAAACCTCAGAGCACTGACAAGACAGGGCTGAGAGCCAGGTTGGGCAGCATGCAGGCCAGACTAAGTCAGGGGTTAAGCAGGGGAAGGCACAGCATAGGCAGGGTGGCACGGGGTCCATGGCCAGGAGGGATGACAAGTTGGTCTTGGGCCCCTTTGGGGCAGTGCTGACCTCTATCCCTGAGTGGCCTGTGCTGGCCTGGCCATTCCCTCAGCCACCGCCCCCACCCTCCAGGCCTCGGTCCTACAGAACCTTCGCACAGCCATGCGGCGACAGATGCGCAGGCACGCCTCCCGCCGCGGACCCTCTCGCCGCCGCCTTGGCCGCCTCTGGAATAGGCTCTTTCACAGGCCACGGGCGCCACGTGGACAGATCCCACTGCTAACTGCTGCACGCACCTCACAGACAGTGCTGGGCGATGGGCTCCTCCAGCCTGCACCAGGGGCTGCCCCGGACCCCCCTGCACCCCTTACGGACATAGGCAGCCCCAGGGCAGCTGGTGATGGGCTCCCCAGTGCCCCTGGCCATGTACCTGAGGTGGGACCTTCAGTACTCCCACCATCTTCAGGTTTGCAAGAGCCAGAGTGCAGGCCCATGGACAAGGACAGAAAAGCCTGCAGGGACCCTCTGGTGAACAGCCTGGCCTCTGTGGACACAGCTCAGGAGCCACGCTTGGCCCAGGACCCTCACTCCCCAGCCTCCACTGCCAGCAGCACCGTTGGCCACCACCCACCAGAGCCACTGAGTGTCTGCAGGAGCCCCCTGCCACCCTGCTCCCCCATATTGGAGGCCAGTGATGATGAGGCCCTGCTGGTCTGCTGACCCACTGGACATGCTGGTGACTGCCACAGCCCCGCTTTGTAACCAGGGAATACACAGTCATTTCTACCCTGCCTCCGCATTCTTCTTTCTCATGGGGAGATGTCAGCATCCCCCCCTGCCTGGGTGGGCCTGGCGTGTGGGTGCTGGGCAGGGGAAGTGGGGCAGAATGATGGAAGGATGAACCCCTTGGCAGGTCCCAGGGTCCACACAGCATCCTGCCTTCCCCCCTCCACCCCACTCCAGAAAAGCAAGAAGGCTAAGGCAGGGATCTCTGGAGTGTCTTCTGTGGCTTCTCACTCCTTGTTCTCGTCCTGTGGCAGCTCCAGCTGCCATTCCAGAGCTGGGCATCTTCCCTCGTCATCACTACCTGCAGCTGTAGTGAGGACAGGACAGAGCAGTGTGTACTCTGTCCCTAGTTCTTGGTGAGAACCCCATCTGCACTGAACCTCCTCCTGCCCCCAAGGCATGGGCGAGGGAGGGCTCTGTCCTCATCTTCATGCCTGTAGTGTGGCCAGGGCCTGACCAGCTGATGCCCTCTGGCTGAGGGGTCAGTGTCCTGGGCACTGAGGCTGGCAATGTGGCAGGGGATGGAGGGGTCCCCAAGAGACACTCTTTTCTGCTGCCTCAGGGACAGAGGTGGAGGCATCAATCAACAGTGCCCCAACCCATCCCATCCTATCTCAGGGCCTCAGTTTCCCCCTCTGTAAACCAGGAAGGTGGGGTTGAGGCTCTGAAGTCCTGACATTTGGTCTGTGGTTTATGGGAAGGAAAACAATCTGAGCTGGGAACCACTGGGCTCTCCTAGGTGCTGAGCCGTAGGCTAGTACTCGGGGGCCTGGGTAAGAGGGAGATTGAACCTCTTCAGTCTTCCCTGCTGCTTTGAGGAGGGATGGATCTGGACCCCACAGTGCCTGAGGCAGGCCCAGGAGCAAGCCTGGGAGAGGGAGTGCCTGGGTCAAGCTCATAGCCCCAAAATGCCAAGGACACCTTCCTTGACACCTTCCCCAGCCAGTACCATGCACGCCCACCTCATGAGTTATGCCTCTGCAGCACTTGCTGGTGCCCACCAGGGACTCGCCTGGGCACAAGCAAACAACCAGCCCCATTTTATTTATAGACCGTTTCAGGAAAGGCTAGCAGGGCAATGCTAAGGCAGGAAACCCGGTCCACATCTTCAGGGCTTCCTTACGACAGGTGTCTAAGAATTGGATATTTTTTTTCCAGAAGAAAAGTTTTTGCAAAAACACCTCCTCAATAAACAACATGTAAACAAACAGCTGCTTCCGTTTCCACAAGCATCTCATTGTGTCTTCAAGGGCTTGTCTGAGATGGGGAGTGGGGAGGGCTGGCATGGCCCGTTTTCCTCTTCCTCAGGGGAGCCCTGGGGGTAGACCACGAAACACAGCTCCTGGCCCCAGCATGTCACTGACTCTGAGGGTAGGCAGAGAGATGGCCAGATGGGTCTTGCCCTGTGGGATAGCAGCAACCCCGACACTGGACACCTCCCCCGAGCAGGAGTCTTCACAGAACTGCCCCCTCTTACAGGCCGGATCCCGGACTCCTCAGCCATATTTCTGGGAGACATCTGGGGGTGGTTGGGCCCTGTCCTGCCACCCCAGCTCTCGGGTTGGCCCTAACAGGGTCCGATACCCAGGCCCTGCCACCTCGGGGAGGCTGCCCGGCTCACCAGTGAGTCTGTGCACACACTTTGGTTTGCTTCTCCAGAACGCTCCCAGGAAGAAAATGGGCACTCCTGTGAGAATGATGATGACCCCGACTCCACAGACCATGGGCTCTGAGATGAAACTGAAGACCAAAAGGAATGCCCAGAAGACCAAGTACGCAACTGGCACGAGCAGGTTCACCTGGTGGAGAGTGAGCATGAGCTCTGAAGGAGTCCCCCTCAACCTTGCCACAGCTCTGAGCACCTTCCTGCTTGTCCCTGGGCTCTCTCCTGGCAGCAGCCCAGCGTACTGGGAGCCAATTCACGCAATGATCAGTCTGCCAAATTGTTGAGGATTTGTCAAAGTTTCAGCCGCTCTGAGCCCTACGCGGGTGTGTGTGTGTGTTTTGGGGGTGGGGAGACTTGGCTGAAGGTCAATTATGTTTTGGTGTTTTGAGTTTCTGGCACTGAGCACATCTCCAGTGCAAGGATTTATATGCAAATGAACAGACTTTTAGCTCACTTTCGTTTTTTTTGGAGGGGACCTCATGAGGCACTTGACTGCTAATCAGAACGCTGACAGTTCAAACCCACCCACCACTCCTCTGAAGGAAGACTGGGCAATCTACTTGCATAGTGATACTGCCTCAGAAACCCAAGGAGGGGTCACTATGAGTATGATCTGACTCAATGGCAGTGAGTCATGGAAGTCCCATAAGGCCTGGCCAGCACTTGAGGGTATAGAGTGCGCCTCTGTCAGGGGACACTGGTGACCTCTAGTGCATTCCTCTTGGTCCTCGCCTTTGTTTTATAGCCCTGCACCCCCGTCTTACTCTGCACCCTGTTATGGATTGAATTATGGCCCAGCATGGAATCCTGGGTCTGTTGCAAGCTGCCTGCATGACCTTGAGCAAGCTCCTTAGCCTCACTTTATTCATCTGGAAACAAGGAATATTAAAATCACCCACTTTCTGGGGTTGGTATGTAGATTAAAGGTAAAACCCCTTGCAGTGCCCAGCACATGGGAAAAGTTAGAATCACCATTACTGTCATTGCCTGCCCCACTCCTACTACCTAAAGCACATTGGGCAGCGCCCCCTTCCCCGGGCCTCACCTTGATGGGCCTGTGGAGTGCTGGCCGCCTCCAGCGCAGCACAAGCAGGGCCAGGATGGTGACGCCATAGCAGAGGTAGTTGATGAAGGACACGTAGTTGATGAGGGTGTATGTGTCTCCCACAAGCATGATGACCGCTGTGGCCCCGCACTGGGGGAACACCCAGGTCTGAGGGCTGGTCTGCTGCCTCCTGCCACTCTGGGCAGGATGCCCTGGGCCTGTTTCACTCAGGCCCAGCAGGTCAGGGTCAGCCTAGACCCTCCCCACACCCACTGTGGGCTGTTGCCACGGCCAGGGCCATCCCTGCTGTTACCCCAGAAATCCCACCATTGTTGAGTGGGCCTGACTATGAGCCCTGGTCAGCCTGGTTCCCCAACTTACGCAGACAAGGAGGGCAGGGATAGGGGTGCAGCGCCTGACATGGATCATTGCCAGTAGGCTGGGCAGGTGCCCTTCTCGGGCTCCAGAGAAACATAGCCTGAAGGGTGGGGACAGAGATGGGGGACCTGGATGTCAGCTCTGGAACTGATGCCCCCTTGAGCTCTCACCTCTGACTTCCTACTATTAGGAGGAGCAGTCCTACTGGGCAGTTCTTCTCCTCATCTAACCTGCTTCCATCTTGCTTTCTTTACTTGAGAGTTGGGATCAGACATTTGTTGCTGGGACATTCACTATCCCAGCTTCAGGTGGACTCCATGTGGCTGTATTTCCCTTTCTTTGGCCCCCAGCCCTGCTTGTGTATACCAGTGCATCTGCCTCACCTCACTACAGCCACCCTCTCCCCAGCCCAGTCACCTGGAGGAGGTGAAAAGGTAGCCATTGATCCCTCCAAAAGTAGAAAGTGCCACAGAGACAGGCATGACCCATGAAAAGTAGCCTAGCAGCTTCTCTCCGAAGGTCTGATGGGTACAAAAGAAAGGCCATGCATAAGGCTGTGGTAGGGGACAGGGCAGAAGCCAGGGACCCAGCAGGGACCCCCACTCACCACGGCCACTGCATTTGAGGACAGCAGCTCCTGTGGGGACATGGCAGTGAAGTAAGCAACGTTGGTGAATGTGTACACAAAGGTCACCAGTGGAATGGAGATGAAGATGGCACGAGGTAGGTTCCTGTGGGCAGTCATTGGAGCACATCAGTGTCAACTCCTCGTGGGGTGGGGAAATGGTGCCCAGGGCTGAGGGGAAAGCAGGAGCCAAGGGAACGGTTTTGAGTCTCCATTTCTTTTGTCTGCTGGGAGGCTTGGGGCAGGAAAGGGGGATGTATTGCCATTCCTTGGAAGGAAGTTTGGGCAATCTACTTCTGTAGTGATACTGCCTCGGAAACCTAAGGAGGGGTCGCTATGAGTCAGATCCAACTCGACGGCACATAACAACAACAACAACATTGCTGTCTGGAGCACTAAGCGCTGTTGTCTGTCACCCTCATCTTGGCCTGGGTACAGGCTGGTAGAAGTAAGAGCAGATGAGGGTGAGGGGTCACATCATACCCTTAGGGCAGAGTCTAATGTCTGCACATTAGAAAAGGGCATACAGCCAAAATTAGCCTTGGCTAGAGACCAATCCACAGGTGTATAGAGTCTTGCCTAGGATTCTCCATCAACCTCCTTACCCCTACTGGTGTTCCTGGAGTTGCAGCTGTCTCCTGCCAAGATTTCTGTCTAAGCATCAGATGGAGTCATCAGCTTTATTTTAGGGATTGTGTTGCGTATGATTTTTGGTCAAATGCAAATAGTTGATTCCATTTACAGCAGGAGGACACATGATACCCAGTGTTTCTGAGGCCCAGTAAGGGGCTATGACTCCATAGCATGCAGAGTAGGGCTGGGATCTAGAGCTCAAGTGTCCTGATTCTTTCCAGAGCCATTTCTGTGGAGCAACAGGGACTCACCTGTACACCCACTGTGGTCATGTGATGACCAGTCTGAGCCACAGAAGCAGTGGTCTTCTCTGAGGAGAGCTGGTACCCCTTGCTGGCTCAGGGTGCAGCCTCCAGCCCACCAAGCACACTTCTTCTGTGGCCCTCACTTCATAGCTTTGCCCTTGGACAAGAGTAAGAGGGGCTGCCTCCCAGGTTGCTGGCCACCCCCCACTCACTTTCGAGGGTCAACCAGCTCCTCGGTGACATAGTTGAGGAAGTTCCAGCCACTGAAGGCAAAGGAGCCCTGGAGGAATGCCAGGGCCAGGTGACCCACGGAGGGCTTCATCCAGAAGGAGAAGGCATTGCTCGGCCTCAGCTCCTCAAAGTGTCCTGGGGGCCCAGAGGTCAAAAGTCAGCATCATCTCTTCAGCC